TAAAAATAAAAAATTTCCAACGAAGGTTGCATACTTTCGGTATCTAGAAGAAGCATTAACGGATTTACTAGTATAGCTCCCTGTTATTTAAATAAATTATTGCCTCATTTAAAATTTGAAAAAGATAAATCAGGTGATTGTTTTCAAGGTTTTATAAGCAAGGGATCTGATTCTCAATTTTGAGTATGTTTGCAGAAACGTGGAATTGTGCTGTAGGTACTCTTAACGGAAATGCTAGTTGTGAAAACAAATAGAGGCGCTATCTGGCTGCAGATGGAGGATTTGATTAGTTCCCTGAGGAGGCATCTCAACACCTATTGAGTGAGGAAAGGCAAAAACCGAATAGAATGGGAAGACGGGGAAGAGGCTTAGGAGAAAGGACCTACAGCTTATCCTAGAAAATTGTAATGGTTGCAATCTGGAAGACAAACCAGATGCATTCTCTTGGTTCTCTTTCAGAGAATTAAAGGGGAAGCAGTAAGTGAACAGTGGACAGAGCATGGAACTGGGATTCAGAGGCCCTGGCCAATGCACCGCTGTGTGTCCTAGACAAGCAACTCGGATTTTCGGGGTCTCTTTCTGGACAAGTCAAATGAGGGGTTTAGGTGAAAGGTGATCTCCAAAGCCCCTTCGAGCTCTCTCACTTGTCTAAACAGAGACATCATGTGGAAGGGTGAGGTAATTCAAGTCCTCAAGGGGGAAAACTCAAAAGAATACCTGAGAATTGGCGTTGCCCATTTAACACTCAATAACCCAATTATTTAAGAAGCAAATCTGGCATCATTAATGACACAGTTTCACACCATCTCTCCCACTATGTGATTATGAGAGGAATACTGCGTACCTTTTCAGAATCAAGATACAAACAACAACAATACTGCGGCAAATGCCACAACTTGAACCGGGGAATTATGTAAAAATGTAGGTAAATGTGAATCTGAAGTGGGAAATAACCTTTTAGCACAAAGTGATGTTATGATGTCCCATTGATATCTGAGGCAGAGTGGCAGATGACACATAAGATACGCATAATGTGCATATGAAAGACTGCATTTTGTGACATTTCCAACAGTATCATTTAACCAGCATCCAAATATCTAACCTCTTGTGCTTCGTGGGCTATCAGCTGGTCCATTAACAGTCTCCGGCGTCTTTTCTCCCTTTGCTCTCGTGCAAACGCGTCTTCTTTGAGGCGCTTTTGGATTTTTTTAATGTAGTCGTCATCCGAGTAAGTGCTTAACAAATCGGCAGTTGTCTGGGCTGCTGTATCTAAAGAAGGCTTGGGTGTACTGAGGACAATAGTTTTTATTTTAGATTCAAAACAATATGATCACGGGCCACTACTTGTGAGCATGGAGGAAGAACTCAGGAGAAGGGTCCTCGGAGCCCTCTGCTAATTTGTCATTATATTATAAGCATGAAAGTGAACACTAGAACTTGAGTGTGACACTTCAGTGTGGTCAACAGGTTCCGCTTTGCCTCCCTCCTTTTCTGGACTCGAGCTCTGGGGGCCTTTTCTCTAGGCCCATCAACTCCTTGTTCTTTCACTTCTCACGATCTTCACTCTACCCAGACACTCTGGATTTCTCTCCCTCTTCTTCCTCCTGGCTCTAGGCCTCTTGCTTCCCCTGTTTTGAGTCAACAGTAGCACAATATTGGTAACCCAAGTGTCAGGGGAGTCACGGGCATACTAACGCCAGGACACAGAGTACTTCCAGGGTGGTTCTGTCCACTGCCACTCTCTCTCACCTATGCACGTGCAAGCTGCTCTAGGACCTCCCAACTATCGGACTGTTGAGGGCAGTGGCCCAGCTCCTGCCGGAAGCTCGGCAGTTGAATGTTGACTTGCTCGTCATGCCACACTCACAGGCACAGGTCTGACCTAGCTTCTCCACCAAGTCCTGGAGACCCAAGATGAAGAGACCTACTCGGGGATTTGTCCTACCTCATGTCCACAATTAAAGGCTCAAGGAGAGCTGGTCTCACCAACACAAAGCACACACACTCAGATGGTGGCTTAGAAGAGAACTGCTAGATTCTTTCAAAAGTTATCATTAGAAGATGTATTGTTATGTCTATAAGGATCAAATAACCAATTCCCATCCTCATACCTCTTTAAAAAATAAACAATGGCCCTAGCCGGTTTGGCTCAGTGAGTAGGCCTGCAGACTGAAGGGTCCCGGGTTTGATTCTGGCCAAGGCACATGTCTGGATTGTGGGCTTGATCCCCAGTGTGGGGTGTGCAGGAGGCAGCCAATCAATGATTCTCTCTCATCATTGATGTTTCTATCTCTCTCTCCCTCTACCTTCCTCTCTGAAATCAATAAAAATATATTTTTTAAAAAAGAACAAAGCCATCTATAATAATAAAAGCATAATATGCTAATTAGACTGAACGAACAAAGCCAGGGCTGTGTGGAAAGCCCAGGTCGCGGGTGCCTGCCAGCAGCTGGAGGGAAGCTCGGGTCCCAGGTGCCTGCCTGTGGCCGGAGGGAAGCCCAGGTCCTGGTTGCCAGAGGGAAGCCAGTGCTGGCAGCCAAGGGAAGGAAGACCTACTCTTGCACAAATTTTGTGCATCAGGCCTCTAGTTCTCTCATAAAAAAATAAATAAAATAAATGAAAAATAAACAGTGTAAGACAATGGTATAAGATATATCATAATATGGCTTGCCAAGAAATCATGAATTTTAATATTGGGAATAATTATGGTTTTTAATATTATAAATTAATAGTGTATTTGTTTTAAAATATAACAATTTTACTTAAAAGACAGGACACATTATCGTTGTGTGTAGGAACCAAATGGTCATCAATTCTCATACAGAGAAAGTTACTCTTGCAAAAGCACAGCTAGTGCATGTTCAATGAGGCAATAACTGCATGTTAGAGTACAGATCACATTATATTATAGTTCATTATTTCTAGGTTTGCTGCTCCCTGCTGAACTCTGAGCACATAAGAAAAGCACATAAGAAAAGTATCCAATTTTATACCTCTCTGTACTTAGGTCTCATATGCCTGCCATGTAGCTGATGTTTGCTAAATTTCAAATGATATGCTAAGAAGTATAATATACATGTGATATAATTTTTTAAATTACACACTAAATTTCTGGTTATTGTATCAGCAGGGGCTCAGCCTTCAGTTCATTCTGTCACTGAGAGTTGCTGAGCAGAAATTGAGTAGCTGTCAAAGTCTCAGTAATGAAGACAAAGTTTATCCCAATCTATATATCAAGATTTAGTACAATTAAGTATTTATGAAAATTATGTAACGTAACTTTTTTAGATCACTCATCAAAATTCTTACCATATTTTTATATAAATGTGTTGTTTAAAATATTTTTTTCCTAGATTGAGCATGGATGAATGGCTCTTTTGACACTGTATTTATGCTACCGATAATATAACGAATATACTTTATCAGTCGGTTCATTCATCCACCCATCCATCTGTTGTCTTATTACAATAAAGGTCTGAACAAAGCTACATGATACTTCCTTGAATGAATATTCATTTTACTAGATATGGGTTTTTTGAGGGCAATAATTATGTTTTCTTTTTATCTGCTTGCCAGGCTTCCATAGAGTTAGGATATGTGTGAATTATTAGTACTAGGAAACTTGGCCAAATTTGTAAGTATTAAAAACAGCTTGTTAGGAAGAACCGACGGGAAATGTGTGAATCCAAGTGTCTTGTTGCAGCAGCCAGCAACCTCAGCTACAGAAGCAAACAGCAGGTCACATTTGTTCCTTGTCTTAAAAAGTAAAGACGTACATGTGAGGGGAAAGTAGCCATGGGAACCCTTGTGTTGCTCCCGTTGAGACCTTTTATTCTCCCACGAGGGGAACAAGGGGCTCTGTGAGGTGACATCCCGAGGAACTGTCGGGAGCTGGCTGGGAGAGGATAGCAGTGCTTTCGGGCATCAACTGGTATGGTTTCACAATGAGCCCAGAACATGCTAGAGTCTAAGCTAAGAATTCAGAATGTCTCCAAAAAAGTAGCGATTGCAAAAGAGGCTTCCGAAGGACCATGCTGTACCATAGCCTTGGTTTTCTTTCAAGGTTTGCTCTAGCCCAGGGCTTCCCAACGTTTTCCACCTTAGGGCCATCAGAGAAAATGCTCTTTGTGCAGCACGTGGAAGGGACGTTCAGTCTCTGATGAGGCTGGTCACGGCGAGGGGGGACTGGTCCAGGGACTCTTGCTGCCCGGGCCCTATCCTGCCTTTCTGAGAAGGGAAGGTGCATATTCATGGTGCCCAGGGGGAAATCTCTAGCAGGATGAAGAGGAGGCTCCTACAGAGAGAGGACTTCTGACAGACATTGCTATGTCCCTCCTTTTCCCCTCCAAACCGAGCCCAACTTTTATTCAGAAAAAAACAATGTCCCTAGCCAAAAACTACACTTCCCAGCCTCCCATTCTGCTGCGTAGGACAGTGTGACTGAGTTCCAGCCAATAAGATGTGAGCAGAAATGTTATATGGGCCTTCTGAGAAGGCTCGTAAAAGGAGCCATTTAAGACTGGAGATAGCTACTTTGGCCTGTCTTCCTTCCTGACACTGGAACATGGGCCAAGTGGCCGGAGCTCCAGCAGCCATCTGTGCATGTGACGGTGAGGATGCAAATCACACAAGAGGACAGTGGAGCAAAAGGCACAGAGGAGCTCAGTTCTTGAGGACCTTGGAGCTGCAACACACACCTTGGATGCTTACGCTCTGATTTCTGTGACACACGAACGAAGTAAACATCCATCTACTTCAACCCACTCTTGTCTGGTGGTTTCCAAAACTAACTGGTAGAGAGACCGAGGCTCAGGTCCAGTCAGCAAAGGCCACAGGAAGCAGGGTGCGTGTCTGCAGCCATGCTGTACAGGGATGGTCTTTGAATCATCTAACCGACAGGGCAAGGTCACAAATCAATTGGAATGGATGCTGGGGCAGGGAATGGGAGATGCTGCTGTGCTTGGTGTCCCCTCTGGTTGCTAACTTGTGTGGTGTCCTAGGAAAGGAGCTGGCCCTGGGGCCACAGAGACCACCATCCACCAGAAAGTAACGAAATATTCCAAGACGGCCCTGCTGGTGGATGTCATGTGTTTATCACTCCAGAGTGTGTGGCTGGTGAGGTGAGTGAAAGAGTTGGGGGAAATCCAGCGGTTTCATGGGCCAGTGAGGTGGATGTGGTGGGTTCAGGCGGCGGCCACCTGGGTGTGTGGGCATGGATTGTGTTTTCTCATGGAGTCGGGGCAGCACTGGAAAATGGGAGTGGGAACCATGGCTGGGCATCAGGAGTTTCTGCAGAGGGTGGGAGGGGAAGTACTGCATGCATTCTTCATCCGGCTTTACTTTCCTGCCACATCTGACTTCCGCGCCACTTTTTCCTAGCTTTTTCTTATTCCTCCTCATTTGACGCTGTTTCCTTCCCTCAGAAAGATTAATATGGGACTGAAGTATATAATTTGTGCCTTTCTTCTTTGACAAAGATTTATTTCAGTCTATAAATTTAAATTCTATAGATTGAGTAGAGTTTGATAGTTTGCATAAAAAAAGAAAAACACCTCAAACTGCTCCTATATTATACATAGTCCTTAATTGATTATAGTGAGTCAATGACCCCCCCCCCCCACCATAGGAGATCTTTATCTTTGGACAAATGAAGCCCATTAACCAGGCACTTTTTCAATTAAGTCACCAAACTGACTTAGTGACATTTGGTCAACAAACTGATTCAATAACTCTATTGAATCCCTGTGTTAAATGCTGAGGAGACACATAAGAAACCAACTAGCGTCTAAAAAAGGTTTTGCTGTGGCAAACTTAAACTTGAAACAATTTTAGTTTAGAAAATGTTAAGCAGAGAATAGAAAAATAATTGAACGTCGCATTATAATAGCCATTTTCCCTCTTGAACTTTACAAAAGTTGTTAATGAACCATTAATCTGAACTTTAAGTCATTTATATGCTTTCGTGTACTGTCATAATGAAGCATCTACAGAGTGAAAAGGTCTTCGGAACAGCTATTCCAGGTACACTATTCCAAATATTCAAAACCTACAGCTTAAAAAGAATGTAGCTTTGTGATTATTAAAATAGTTCATATCTCACCTTTCTTTTGCTTGGAGATCCTTTTTTAGTAATGCTTCAAACTCCTTAATCTCATTGGCCACATCCTTTAAAAAAAATTCATTATCAGTTTTCTGCCTCTAAAAATCATTGAAAACTGCCACATACCCTATTTATTCAAATTTACAAGATAACATGCACTACTAACTCAAGCTAATTAGGAAGTGAGCTTGGAAAAGCCACACTCCAGCAAATTTCTAAAATTCTGATCTGTTACTTCTCCTCTGGATTAAATATACCTAAAAAATATAAAAATTGCTTAACCTGAATCATTTAGTTCACATTTCAGCTCTGAATTTAATAAGAGTTAGGACACAATTATTTTTAAATTTAAAAACATTTATTAAATTATAGTTGAGATTTTTAATTGCAATTCTTATAAATGAGGATACGCATTTTTGGATATAAATATTTCTTTAAAAATCACTGCCTCATGCAGCCTCATTTACACTATTAATTTGCTCTCTATTAGTTCATCCTCTGTCTACTGCATTTATTAATAAAATTTAATCAACTCTAGGAAATATAAGAATTATGTACTTTACTAAAATGGGGTCAGAAGAAAACATCCGTGGGTAATATTTCTTAGAATCCACACACGGGATTTTTTTAATTAAAAAAAATAAATGTAGCCCTGCCAACTCTGCTTTGCCAGCATTGTGAGCTTGAGTAGAACATGCCAGCTTTCTGAGTTTCAGTTTCCTTATCTACAAAATGGGCAAAAGAATAGCCTACCTAGAGAGTTATGTATAAATTAAAGATCGTGTCAAGTGTCCAATCCATAGCTTGACATATAGCAGATGCTCCATAAATGGTAGCTGTTCATCTTCTTCTTGGGTCATTATTGTAGTGGTATGCAAACTACAGGAATTTGTATCAAAATATACTATTATTCCCCCACAGAACAGAATCAGATGGTATCCTTTGGCATGGATCGCTAGCAAAAACTCACTTGTGTAGGTAACTTAAATTTAAATATACTGAAAACAAGCAAATCACTCAACATGTCTAGGATTCATAGAAAAATAGTGCAGCTGAGTGAACACATTAGGGAGGAATAGCACAGGCACGGTATGTGCGCCTCAGCTGGCCCCTGTGGCCCCCACGGGAGTCATGCTGACAGCACCCGTTCTGGCCCAGTTCGTTAGCGATCACAGAAGCCTCAGCACAGGCACTCACACAGGTGCTGTCACTTAACCAGAGTCTGTCACCTCTGGCCCAGAGCTGCATTTTCTGTTTCTGAACAAATAACATGAAACGGACTGAATGTGTATACCATGGAAGCGTTTTCATGAGAAGGGACATGCCAGAGATAATTTGTAAAGAAAGTAAGCAGTTTTGGGAAATCTCTCTATATGTTTTAGGGAACGATCATTCCTTTATTAAATAAACACAACCCAGTATTAAAGGACAATCACCTACCTCTGCCTCTCTTTTCTTTTTCATCATCTTTTGGGCCTCAATTGCTTTCAGAGTACGGTTTGATGTAGGTTTTGGAATCTGTATGATAGCCGCTTGGATTTTGGCCATTATTTCATTCTGTCGTCTTCTGCTCAGGCGTTGCTGAATACCCCATAGACATTAGTTTAGTCATTCAGTTCATCAGACTACTAGGCAATGTCACACACTCATAGGAACACACACACACCATTTCCCCATTGACGTTTTCAGAACTCATCAACTAACCAATGGACTGGGGTCACAACTGTATGATGTCACAAAGCAGGTGTCAACATGACTTAGTTTGGAAAGTATGATATTAAAACACAGTTTTGGAGTCCCCAACTTATACCAGTCAATTGTGTGTATTTTCATTCTGGGTGCTGATGCAAAAAGGAATGTAAAGGTTTCCCACACACAAACACGAGTATGATTCTTTCCCAGTTCCACCTTCATGACCTGCCCGATAGTGGGAAGAGAAAGTTCTGTCTGAAGATGATCTGAAGAGGAAGCTCAGTCTAGGACAGTGATGGCGAACCTTTTGAGCTCGGCGTGTCAGCATTTTGAAAAACCCTAACTTAACTCTGGTGCTGTGTCACATAGAAATTTTTTGATATTTGCAACCATAGTGAAACAAAGACTTATATTTTTGATATTTATTTTGTATATTTAAATGCCATTTAACAAAGAAAAATCAACCAAAAAATGAGTTCGCGTGTCACCTCCGACACGCCTGTCATAGGTTCGCCATCACTGGTCTAGGAGAAGGTCTCTGGGAGGACTCCTGGGCACTCGATAGAAATGACAAACTTCCCCCAAACTCAGTCACACTGAAACACTGAATTCATAAAATACTGAATTCATGTCATGTCACTAAGTCATGTAAGATGATTACAAAATCATCTCTTCTCTATGTAGGCAATCATTATTTTAAGAAGACATAAGCAGAAGGGCATAATTAAAAAAAACATTAGGTAAAATATTTTACAAATAAATGATTTAGGAGGTAACGTGAAACTAATCATGACTTTACTACTAAAGCAATATATTAAAACAAATGAGATCATTAGTATCTACATCTAAATATAAGAAATGTCAATAAGAAATAAGTCAGAGATAAAATAATTCTAAAATTTTCTTCACTTCCTTTTCTAAAATGCAAATTGTTACTTAACTGCAATATGTTTATCCTTTATCTTAAGAAAACCAGGAAGAGCTAGGCTCTCTGTTTTGTCCTATTTGCTTCTTATCATTTTAACAGTTTATTTCAGGATATCTAATGGTATCATACTTTGTTTTTCCCAACTTTCTTCGGAGACTTTCTGCAGGAGCCTCGGCAGGCTGGTTCCACCTGGAGTCCCAGCACCCGTCCTCACCACGAAATGCCCAGGGAAGCCCACCCCCTTTTCCAGTCTGTGGCAAGTAATGTGATCCTAAGACTTTCCAGAGTTCGTCCCTCATCTTTCCCTCCCTCCTCATGAGGAGCTGGCTACATTCAGGATATGTTAACTTCTTATCATTCTAAATATATGAATTTATATAAAGTGGGTTACAGTGCAGTGAGAACTCTAATTCTTTTGCCTGCAGGTTACACATTCCATACACACAGCCCCCAGCAATTCTCTGCAAAGTCTGTGATGACTCCACACTCTCTTGTCCTCTCAAGTCCGTCATGTCAGAGGAGATCACACAAGACTTTCAGAGAAAGAGGAGAAGCAACAGGGAGTCAGTCAAAGCCTGAAGGGCCAGGAAGATGCTGAGAGGTTTAAGGGGGCTGGGAAGGGAAGCAAGCCACACTGCCAGGAAGAGAGAGATGGGGGAGGGTAGGAAGACCAAGGGGTTGCAAAGGAGGAAGAGGAGAGAAGAAATGTCCACTCTGTCTCCCTCTGTGGTGACAATGGCCACAGCCTTCGCTGAGGAGCCAGGACCCCCCCCCCCTCCCCATCACTAATGCAACTGATTCACTGATTTCTACCAGACATCTTATAAAGCAGTGGTTCTCAACCTTCCTAATGCCGCGACCCTTTAATACAGTTCCTCATGTGGTGGTGACCCCCAACCATAAAATTATTTTCATTGCTACTTCATAACTGTAATTTTGCTACTGTTATGAATCGTAATGTAAATATCTGATATGCAGGATGTATTTTCATTGTTATAAATTGAACATAATTAAAACATTGTGATTAAGTACAAAAACAATATGTAATTATATATGTGTTTTCCGATGGTCTTAGGCGACCCCTGTGAAAGGGTCGTTCGACCCCCAAAGGGGTCGCAACCCACAGGTTGAGAACCGCTGGATCAAGTTGTCCTGCCATTCCAGAGAATGGCAGTTCTTGCTTCTTAGCTATGAGTGGAGGTGCCAGTGAGCAGAAGTGGAGATGGCGACAAGGGGAAAGTGAAGGAGAGAGAGGTAGGAGCAGGCAGAGCACGCGTCGCATCGTGCCTCAGCAGCATGCAACTTGGGCTACATTAATGCTT